CACCCGCTCACATCAGAGCTCCGGTTTCGAGAATGAAGATGGAGTACTTCCTTCCGATCCGACAAAGGGAGCATGAGATGGTGCTCCCATCTCTCAAGACAAGAAGGGTCGACCTGCTGCTCTCTGCTGCACAGGGATTGAACTGGAGGCGATGACGGGCGTCTTTAGTATGTTCAAGTAAGGTTTAAGCTGTGTCTTTCATAAATTCTTGTAAAGTTTTAGCTGTTTGCATTGGGAACCTGGTTTTTTTTTTTGAACATATACAATTTGGGGTAAAAGATAAAAAATTTTAGTATGTTAATATCATTGCTTGACCTTTAATTATTAGTAAAACATTAAGTACACCTAACAAGGTTTATGAAACTTGCTACTCGTTGGAATGGGGGTCAAGCTTATGGTTTTGATATCGACATTTCTTCTGTAGAGACTGTATACTATTTAGAAAACTGCGGAACCTGGTATTTACTGGACAAATGTACAGCTAAAATTCGCTAATAATTAATTAAAGCCATTCTTCTAATTATGATTCACGCACGTTTATTGTATGCCTTCGAAGGACAATAATTTAATACATCCAATTTCATAGCAAAGAAATTAAAAGCAGATCGTTACAGCATTAAGAATTTATTCGTCGATAATGGGAATTAGTTTTGTTCCATCGGAATAGGCTCCAAAAATGATGAAATTATAGTGTCTCTATGTGCCTCTGATTGTACGGAAAACCAGTCACCCTTCTTATACATGTGCTGCCAACATCTTGCCGTGTTCAATGCTATGTCGGAGAGGCAATCCGGCAGACTTTTGCTGGCAATCAAGCCGTTAAGTTTTTTCCATGCATCACTTATTAGGCCCTTTAAGTGATCTCGTGCTTCTTCCTCGGACACTCTCTTTTGTACCATGTAGCATTTTATTGCATTCACCACCTCTCCCCTCTCCATTTCATCCTTCAAAAGGGTCATTCCAATTTTTTTAAAAAAAATTTTCTGTATTAAAAAAATTGTGTATAAGTGACAAAATTAAAGTATTAAGTGCACATGCGTGCGTTGTATATACCTCTGATGTTTGTAAATCGTCATAGAGTCTGCCAATAAGTGCCGCTAAATATAAGAACTCAGAATCAGAACTTTGGATCCATTCCAGGGAATCTTTGGATATGGTATCTCGATCCAGAGTACCAAAAAATGCATAGGTGGTGGCTAAAGGAGCACCAATTGTACGCACTCCATTCTCAAGATATTCATCAAAAGTAGGAATATATCCACTGTAAATCCATCTTGATTCTTCCATGTATCCTCTTGTGTAAATCGCCCACTGCAAAATAATAATATTATTTTTTGTTTAAAATGATATATTTTTGTTCAAGATTTTAATTAACTTAATTCAATACCAACATTTTGCTTAATATAGGGTAGGATGTCCATCCCAAGGCGTTCTGAAGCATCTTCCACCATTTCCTTAACATGCTCGTGAATGGCTATGTAGCATGGTCTCATGTACTCTGGGAGGTCCTCGACGACCTTTAAATCCCAACTGCAGTAGTAGTGTAAAATTAAGAAGAAAAGCGAAGGATTTGAGTTCTAAGACTTTTGATATAGGAATCTCAAATTCAAAATTTGAAATGGATTGATATATATATAGAATACGGTATTTTAATTATCTTACCAGCTGATTGCATCTGTTAGCTTCTCAAGCTCATCAAGATGTCCATATACATCATATATATCGTCTAATACAGTCGCAACAACAGTCAGTTTTGCCATGCTCTTCCTGCATTTGGAGAATTGGGG